TTTTTTTTTTTTGTTTTATTTGGTTGTTACTTGCATAGGTAGGTTCTTTATCCTATTTGCCCTCTGTGATGTTTTGTTATTTGGAAACTTGAATTATTGCTGGATACTTTGTTGAAAGGATTTTCCTGAGTGGGTGAGCACAATTTTGTGTTTGATGTATATGCTGGAAAAGTAATATGATGTGTTACATTTTTCTGGTCCATAATAGACTTGGGCAAAGTGATAGTGGGATGCACAACTTTCTGATATACTTGAAGAATTGGAGGTGCTTAGTCTATTTATAGGGTTCGGGTAGATTTATGAAAATGGTGCTGGGAGGTCTGAGAAACCTTTTGGATTCCCTTGGTGTATGTATATATGCTTTGAAAGCCTTAGATAATCTGCAATTACTAAAAATGGTACCAAAATTACCAAGGTCCAAAGATAGTGTACCAGAGAATCTCAATCTGTAATGATAGTGGAAGACAAAAGGAATGCCATGTTTCTTTACTCTACTTTAGTCAATGCAAAGTCATGATTTGCAAAAAAGGAAAAATGAATTTTTAGTCTTCAATTAAAAAATAGTGACTAAAAGTACCAAAGGCTAAAATGGTTGACTTGATCCAATTGTTCACAATTAACAGTTTATGTACAACTTAATATGAATGCTTCTTCAGATAGTGGCAAACTAATGAACTCCAATCTTTAATACATTAGTGTGTAAGTATACGTACACTGTAAAGTTGGTTAAAAGATGGTGGTTAATCTGTTCACTATATCTCCTCATACTAGATTCAGATTAGTCTTGGTGACTTTTATTGTTTCTATTTTCATTTCTCTATGTGTAATTTTTAACTATTATTTTTTTCCAGGTCTCTCTGCCTGCCAATGGATGCTAAGTCTGCTGTAGAATTAATGGAGTCTTCTAACGAGGTTCATTTTTCTGGATTTCACATGGATGGTTTTGAGCAAAGAAAGGACAGCATAGAACAACCAACAACCTCGGAATCTGACATGTATAAACAACCTTTTGTCATAGGTGTGTTTTCCTGTGGTGGATTGCTGAATAAGTTCACGAGGCCTTTAAGTTGTGTACAGAGTACATGAACAAAATCACTTATGTTAAAGCACAATTTTGTACTAGTTGAATTATAGAGTTTCTTGACTTGAAACCTGTGCCTTTGTGTGAAATTGGCCTACTCAGGGCAGAAACATGTCTGCTTTGAATGTAAATCACAAATTCATCTTGTTGGAGCTATTAAAAATTAACATGAAGTTTAGTTACATAGCATCTGATATATGGCTTAGTTATGGGATGATACATTTCAACTAATATCAATGTCACACGGTCCTTTTATGCTTTTCAAATTCTGCCAATTAAATTGGACTAGAGCTTTTTCATAGCTCTAGGTGCTAAGTTTGGATACCATGTCTTCAATTCTTACAACTTCTCCTTTATCTTAATGATTCTAACTTGCTTATGTTTTATGATGCAGGTGTTGCTGGGGGTGCAGCATCTGGCAAGACAGCAGTTTGTGATATGATCATTCAACAGCTTCATGATCAACGAGTTGTACTTGTTAATCAGGTATTGAATTATTTCTGTTTATACTTCTCAATTATCAAATTGAAAAAATATATTAAAGTGATCATTGAAAACAAACAATTGATTGGTTTCTACATCAGGCCCTATATGCATCCTGTTCTATCCATGATCTGAATCTCTTGGGATTCTGTTTTCCTTTGATATTCAAAGAATTTTAAGGAATGTTTTTATTACCATTATTGTAAATTTGACCCCATTCACAACAAAATATATCATTTTTGTTTATTCTTATTCCTTTAGTATTCGTCTAAGCTTCTTTCTGACAATTTGCTGATATCAAGAGCACACATGTCTCTCTGGGTAATATAGTCAAAATATACTCTTATGTTATTTCTTTGCCTATCATGTCATTGATTATCTCTATTTATTCATTCTATTAGTTATTCCTTTCTTTCAACTTCTTTTTGGGTGGCATGTTGCCAAGTTTAGTCCATACATTTCTTATTTACATATTTTTGTAATCGTACAACTTTTTACCATTTTTAAAAGATTCGGATATGGACAAACATATTGCTGTAAAGTTTTTTTTTTGCTCTGAGGATGAACTGAAACTTATCTATTCATCCTTTCTCTGTTTATTCTGGGTTGATTTATATTAAGTTTGAATTTGAGTTCGTAAAATTGATTTTAATTAAAATTGAATAACCAATGTTTAAATAGTTATTTTAATAATAAATGGGTATAAACCAATATGAAACTTTATTTGATATAAAAATTATTAAAGTTGTTTTCATTCAAATAATTTTTCATATTGGTGAATTTTTAATCTGTAAGTAACGTGAATAGTTACTTAAAATCATTTTAATTATTTTTTAACAAATTTTGAATAGATTTCAAACTACTAATTATTTTTTATATATATCATGATTACATTAATACTACCAAAAACATAGATATAAAAAATCTAAGTTAAATTTAATTTACTATTATTAGACATTAATTCTTAATTTTATTCACTTAATAAATTAAATGCAAAATATTTTTTTAAATATGTTTTTAACTCTTTCTTGTAACCAATCATAAAAAGCTGTCTATAATTACGTTTCCACAAAAGAAAAAGTGGGTAAATATACGAGTAATTCATCACGCTTTTAAACATATTACTGTAATATGATATTAATTATATTTTAGTTCAAAATGCGTAAAAAAGATAAATTAAAAATAAAAAAGAAATATATTATGCTTTAGTTTAATATAGTTAAAATTTTAGTTATTTACAATTTTAATGTTGTACAATTATTAAATAATTACATATACTTTAAGTTATAAAATACTATAAAAATAATATATATATATATATATATATATATATATATATAAAACGAAAACTCATGAAAAATCAAGAAACAGGACCAAAATTAAGGGGTTTGTAAAATAAATTCATCACTGATCAAATTCTATAGTGTGGTTAATGTCATAATTAATCAACTTATGTAATTACCTTTCTCATGGCGATAATTTTTCACCTATTTCTTTCATATTATATATGTGAAATGAAGTGATAACTATTAAAAGATATTAAAAAGTTTATAGTGTTCATATTTATATTTAAAACATTTTGGTTGATGAAAAAAATTTAAATTATGAAAAATATTTACAAATTTGTGAACACGAACATAATAAAAATTAGGTTTAATACTATTTTGGTTCCTAATCTGATGTTTGTTTAAAGTTGTTCTATCCTTTAAAAAAAAGTTTAAAAATGTCAATTTGTGTAACGGTGTAGTTGTCCTCCTAGCCAAACTGAATGAAAGTCCAGTTAGTGATTGCGTGGTATCTCACTAATAGAGGACTGTCACGTGGTATCCTCTTCCCACCCAAATTGGGTTCGCGAGAAATGTCTCTCATTTGCGATGGCTGCTGGTTCTTCCATTGCACAAAGGAGCTCGTGGGGGCGTGATTAGAGGGGATTCTTATTTGTGGTTCCATCTCTATTTCAGGTATGTAGATTGATGAGATGGTGGTGGTTTGAAGAACCATCTGGTTCTTCGAGTTTTGGAGAAGACAAGATGGAGAAGAATTGCTTGCGGTGCGCGAAGGTGATGGAGGAGATGAACTCACCTTGCGACGCTATTTAGGTTAGGATTTTTGAATGTTGGCTGTGGAGGTTCGGATTAGGCGATTTGGTTCTGAGTTTTTTTGATTTCTAATGCAGGTTTTGAATCGAGGGAGAAGGAACTCGCGATTAGGTTTCGAAGGGGTGAATCGCGATTCTGGTTTGGGATGTTTCTGCAGGCATTGTCGCAATTGAAGGAGCATGGTTGCGATGGAGGCAAGACCGATTTAAAGTTTGATGGTTTCTGATTGGTAAATAGTGAAGATCGATGGTGGTTTACAATTCGAACGAAAATGGTGGATTTCGCGCATGGAGTTAATGGCTGTGTACTAGGGAGGTTTGATTGCTCAAGTGTGGTCGCGCGCTAATGGCAACATGGTGGCCATGTGGTGTCTCTTTGCACGAATCCTAACCTTTTCACATACGTTGTCAAGTCCAATTGACCTCATCATGTCACGTAATACACTAATTGAGACAAATCATTCAGTTTTGATAAAAAAGACAACTACATTCGATAAAGTTTTTAACTAGTTAATAACAAAAATACTGCATGAAACAATTTTACATATTTTTCTTAAAAGTAAAACAAATTTGAAACTCATGTCAGATCAAAACAAGTATTATGTCTAGAAATTACAACTAAATCTAGTATTTAAAAAAATGTTTTTAAACCTTAACATTTGGAGTGAACTTGGATTTGGTTTTTCAAATTTGAAAAAAAAAATACTTTATTTTAGTTTTTGAACATAGAATTTAAGGGATTAAATCAGTTTTATTTGTTTTTAGTTGCTAAAATATTTTTAAGATACTGAACATGTGTACTTATAAACCTAAATACTAAAATAACTTTTACAATTCAAAAGGCTAAAATTGGATTCTTCTTAAATTTTTAAGTTTAAAAACGTGATTATCTTTGTTGGCAAAATCTAACTTCGATTTCAGTCATTTTAGTAAATTATATTAAAACATATATTAAACAATATTGTTTAGAACGATTTCAATATAACGTTGTCCAGATTGAATCAAGTAGTATAATAAACTCCATATTTTAAATTTTTTGAGTAGAAAGTAATTTTTTGAATTTTTTTAAATCTTAAATTTATATAAAAAACAAAATTGAAAGCGAAATATTTTTAATATTTGAATTTTATGGTTTGAATAGATGAATGTTGAAAGTTTCCAGCATATTTCTGTATTTGAAATTGACTTGTATAGAAGTTGAAACGTCACTGTACGTTACTGCTGACCGTGTGTGTGACCCAAAGCTTATCACATGTTTTTCACAATCTACGTAGGCACTATTGATGGCCCCGGTCCGGTTACGTCGGTTATCCGCCGGGGTCGCCGGGTTACTTTTAAAAGAAAAGTTATATTATTTTAAAAGAGAATTGGATTTTGAATTAATATAATCAAGATAGCTTAATTATAATATAGAAGGGAAGATTAGGATTTTAAGGGGAGATAAAAGGAAGGGGCAAAAAAGTGACTAGCTTTAAACTTTTTAATGCTAGAAGATTATATTTAGTTCAAAGGAGGGTACAAGAGGAACAAAGTATATGTAGAGGGAATCGGGAAAAGGTAGGGAGGTATTGTGAATCTTGATCAGGCTTGTACTGTGTTGGATTAAAAAAAAAATGTTTATTTATCACATTTATCTCTAAATTGGTTTTAGACAGTATTTATGATTGAAAAAGTATCTTTGGGTTTGTATTAGGCAGTGTTTTGCAAGGTATAGAAACAGAGTTTTTAAAAATATATAAATAGTTCTAAAACTAACAATACCGAAATTTACATCTATAAAAGAAAAGCATATTTACCGAATGGATAAGGATGTGGCATTTCTAAATTTCCGAGAGGAACAAAGAAGAAGATATATAGAGAGAACGAGTCATATTAACGAAACCATTGAAGTGTAAAAAAGTATATATGGTTTTATTAATTAATAACGCATTATATAGTTTGTTAAAAATACACATCATTGTTGAGAACAGAAATAATTGTTTTATATTAGAAAAGGAAATTTTTATTTTACTTAAGTTACTCTCTTTTCCTTTCCTTTCTCTTTCATAAATTAACTTCATTTCTTATCTTCTTCAAAATCTAAGACTAGTGATCATTATGAAAAGGNTGTACGATTACAAAAATATGTAAATGAAAAAATGAGTATTTAATTATTTATTTTATTTCTAAAAGTTATGAATTTCATGGACAATTGGCATCAGAAAGAGAATAAAATAAAATTAAAATGGTAGGTGAAGGTGGTAATTTTGTAGAAAAAATGGGGTCCATTTGCCAACAACTATTGTATATAAACCAAACCAAAACAAAGGGATTGTACGAAACCATTTATGCTTAACTCATCTCTGTCTGTTTGCAGTAAATAACTCACCCTTCAACTATTGCTGTGCATCTCTTTCCCTCTTTTGTCAAATTCTTCCACTCAGCAGGTATGTTAGGAATCAGCATTTGTCTATTTGGTATAACAATTATTGTGTGCATTGGTTGGATTGTTTGGGGTTCAACTTTGATGAATTATGCAACTACAATATTTGCCATATTTTTTCTCTTTTTCTTGGATCTGGATTTGGCTGTGGAAAACCCATTAGAGAATTTTGGGCTGTGATGACTGGGGTTTGTCTGTTTTACTCAGTGATGAAGTGGGTAAGCATAAGTTTTTTTTTTTTGTTTTATTTGGTTGTTACTTGCATAGGTAGGTTCTTTATCCTATTTGCCCTCTGTGATGTTTTGTTATTTGGAAACTTGAATTATTGCTGGATACTTTGTTGAAAGGATTTTCCTGAGTGGGTGAGCACAATTTTGTGTTTGATGTATATGCTGGAAAAGTAATATGATGTGTTACATTTTTCTGGTCCATAATAGACTGGGGCAAAGTGATAGTGGGATGCACAACTTTCTGATATACTTGAAGAATTGGAGGTGCTTAGTCTATTTATAGGGTTCGGGTAGATTTATGAAAATGGTGCTGGGAGGTCTGAGAAACCTTTTGGATTCCCTTGGTGTATGCATATATGCTTTGAAAGCCTTAGATAATCTGCAATTACTAAAAATGGTACCAAGGTCCAAAGATAGTGTACCAGAGAATCTCAATCTGTAATGATAGTGGAAGACAAAAGGAATGCCATGTTTCTTTACTCTACTTTAGTCAATGCAAAGTCATGATTTGCAAAAAAGGAAAAATGAATTTTTAGTCTTCAATTAAAAAATAGTGACTAAAAGTACCAAAGGCTAAAATGGTTGACTTGATCCAATTGTTCACAATTAACAGTTTATGTACAACTTAATATGAATGCTTCTTCAGATAGTGGCAAACTAATGAACTCCAATCTTTAATACATTAGTGTGTAAGTATACGTACACTGTAAAGTTGGTTAAAAGATGGTGGTTAATCTGTTCACTATATCTCCTCATACTAGATTCAGATTAGTCTTGGTGACTTTTATTGTTTCTATTTTCATTTCTCTATGTGTAATTTTTAACTATTATTTTTTTCCAGGTCTCTCTGCCTGCCAATGGATGCTAAGTCTGCTGTAGAATTAATGGAGTCTTCTAACGAGGTTCATTTTTCTGGATTTCACATGGATGGTTTTGAGCAAAGAAAGGACAGCATAGAACAACCAACAACCTCGGAATCTGACATGTATAAACAACCTTTTGTCATAGGTGTGTTTTCCTGTGGTGGATTGCTGAATAAGTTCACGAGGCCTTGAAGTTGTGTACAGAGTACATGAACAAAATCACTTATGTTAAAGCACAATTTTGTACTAGTTGAATTATAGAGTTTCTTGACTTGAAACCTGTGCCTTTGTGTGAAAATTGGCCTACTCAGGGCAGAAACATGTCTGCTTTGAATGTAAATCACAAATTCATCTTGTTGGAGCTATTAAAAATTAACATGAAGTTTAGTTACATAGCATCTGATATATGGCTTAGTTATGGGATGATACATTTCAACTAATATCAATGTCACACGGTCCTTTTATGCTTTTCAAATTCTGCCAATTAAATTGGACTAGAGCTTTTTCATAGCTCTAGGTGCTAAGTTTGGATACCATGTCTTCAATTCTTACAACTTCTCCTTTATCTTAATGATTCTAACTTGCTTATGTTTTATGATGCAGGTGTTGCTGGGGGTGCAGCATCTGGCAAGACAGCAGTTTGTGATATGATCATTCAACAGCTTCATGATCAACGAGTTGTACTTGTTAATCAGGTATTGAATTATTTCTGTTTATACTTCTCAATTATCAAATTGAAAAAATATATTAAAGTGATCATTGAAAACAAACAATTGATTGGTTTCTACATCAGGCCCTATATGCATCCTGTTCTATCCATGATCTGAATCTCTTGGGATTCTGTTTTCCTTTGATATTCAAAGAATTTTAAGGAATGTTTTTATTACCATTATTGTAAATTTGACCCCATTCACAACAAAATATATCATTTTTGTTTATTCTTATTCCTTTAGTATTCGTCTAAGCTTCTTTCTGACAATTTGCTGATATCAAGAGCACACATGTCTCTCTGGGTAATATAGTCAAAATATACTCTTATGTTATTTCTTTGCCTATCATGTCATTGATTATCTCTATTTATTCATTCTATTAGTTATTCCTTTCTTTCAACTTCTTTTTGGGTGGCATGTTGCCAAGTTTAGTCCATACATTTCTTCTTGTGCTTATTTTGATACATTGAGCTTAATAAATAAACTATTTATGACAGGATTCCTTTTACCATAGCTTGTCTGAGGAGGAACTTACACGAGTACAGGATTTCAACTTTGACCACCCTGGTAGTTCACTTTTTTGTCATTACTGACATTCGTTCATTTTAAAGTATAATGGAATGTTCTGCGGCCTTGTCTCTTTTATTAACTTGCATTTTTTTTACTTTTTAGAATGAGGATCCAAAACATTTGTTCATTCTCATGTTTTTATTATTCTAGTAAACTAATTATGAACTCGTTAACTAAAGCTACATGCTAGTGAATTAAAACATTAGTTAATGATAATGCACTGACTTTTGAGATGTTTCTGTAAAAGTCAACAAACTTACCATAGTGATTGGATGACATTGTAAATATATTATAGAGTGAACACCTTTTTCTTTCTCTTAAAATGTTTCTGAAAATTGATGGGGTAGAGAGACAAGTGAAAATATTGACATTTTAATTTTATTAAAGGAACTGTGTTAATATTCTTGTACTTATGTTTTGATATTGAATCAGATGCTTTTGATACTGAGCAATTGCTGTGCGTTATGGACAAGTTGAAGCATGGTGAAGCAGTAGATATTCCGAAGTATGATTTTAAGACTTACAAGAGTGATGTGTTAAGAAGGGTATATCTCTGGAACTTCTGTTTATATTAGAAGTTTTAACCATTTAGTTAAAATGCTAAACAACTCGAGATAGACTTAATACTTGTGAAGTTGCAAATATCATTCAAAAGAAAAGTTTTCTTCTTTTAGTACAAATTGAAGTATAAAATATATCTATGTGATAATTGAAATGCATATTTTAGCTTATAAAAAGTTGTTGTCATTCTATTTTCATTGTGTTGCTTTAACGTGTTTTCAGGTGAACCCTTCAGATGTCATAATTTTAGAAGGCATCCTTGCTTTCCATGATCCACGTGTTCGGGAGTTGATGAATATGAAGATATTTGTTGACACAGGTCCTTTATTATTGTTTTTCCATATTTAACTCAGAATTTATTTATTTTAAGTTGTGCTGCATTTGTTAATTTAAATGAGATATGTTGTAAGATTAACTTTTTTTCATCTCTTGGAATTAGTTTCTTCCCTTCCCCCTATAATTCACATTATGATATAGGAAAATTGTATTCTTCATATTATATCATTTAAGAAACTTTGAGGGTTCGGGGCACTATGAGCCTATTTGTTACACTTTGACCAATCTTCATATTGTTACTTTTTTCATTTATTTGTTGGTCCTTTGTTACTTCATTAAATTATTATTGTGTGAGTCTCCTAGGTACTTCTAAGCCTGTATATAAAATAAACTTGATGTTTAATATTGTTGACCATCGAATTCCAACTTGTACTTGTTTTACTTATGTGTCTTTGTTGAAATACTGAGTTAAGCTGTTACTTCACATTTTAAAATGTTCAGTGCAGATGCTGATGTTCGATTGGCAAGAAGGATTAGGCGTGATACTAATGAAAAGAGTCGGGATATTGGAGCAGTTCTTGATCAGGTAGCAACTTTCTACTACACCATTTGCGTAACATCTTTTGACTATTTCTTGATTCTTTTTCATCTTGCTATATTTACTTCAATGCATGGATTTAGAAATATTACTTTTAGTTTCATGCTGCTGGTTGGTTACTGTGCAAATTCCTTAATATTGAAACATATGATTGTATGGAATTAAGTCATTAAAGATTCTTTTTGTTTATAAATATTTGTTAAGCTATGCTATTATTCATTAGATTTTCATGGTTAATATTAACCATTAATGGTTTGCAGCTGACTTTTATGTAATATTTATTGCAGTATTCAAAATTTGTGAAGCCAGCTTTTGATGACTTTATTCTTCCAACAAAGAAGTATGCTGATATAATTATACCCCGTGGAGGAGATAATCATGTGGCCATTGATTTGATTGTACAGCATATTCGCACAAAGCTAGGTCAACATGACCTGTGTAAAATATATCCAAATTTATATGTCATTCAATCAACTTTTCAGGTACCCCTTGATCATGGACATTTTCGGTGATCCCGCGTAGTAAACACCAATATTTGATTTTTACTTTTAAGTTACACCATCTCGGTCAATGCTATTATGCAGATACGGGGTATGCATACGCTGATACGTGATTCTCAAACAACAAAGCATGATTTTATATTTTACTCTGATCGGTTGATTCGATTGGTAAGTAAATAAGTTTGTTTTTTTTTTTGTTTATGAATTTAATGGCAATATGACATCATAATAATTGAACTTGACCAGGTTGTTGAACATGGTTTGGGGCATCTGCCATTTACAGAAAAACAAGTAGTCACTCCCACTGGTAATCTTATCTTTTTAAATACTTTCCTCGTAAGATTGTTGTGATGTGCACGTTTCTGTGATATTTTTTTCTTTCTGATCTTTGTGGCAACAGTATTTAGATGAACATTTTTACTTCCGTATCTGGTTTTTTATTGCTGTTGTACATGCTCCGTTCTCTCCTTTGAATGCAAATTGTTGTGGATAACATGTACATTCGATGTCGAGGTTATCATGTGTTGGTGTATNGGAATCTGACATGTATAAACAACCTTTTGTCATAGGTGTGTTTTCCTGTGGTGGATTGCTGAATAAGTTCACGAGGCCTTGAAGTTGTGTACAGAGTACATGAACAAAATCACTTATGTTAAAGCACAATTTTGTACTAGTTGAATTATAGAGTTTCTTGACTTGAAACCTGTGCCTTTGTGTGAAAATTGGCCTACTCAGGGCAGAAACATGTCTGCTTTGAATGTAAATCACAAATTCATCTTGTTGGAGCTATTAAAAATTAACATGAAGTTTAGTTACATAGCATCTGATATATGGCTTAGTTATGGGATGATACATTTCAACTAATATCAATGTCACACGGTCCTTTTATGCTTTTCAAATTCTGCCAATTAAATTGGACTAGAGCTTTTTCATAGCTCTAGGTGCTAAGTTTGGATACCATGTCTTCAATTCTTACAACTTCTCCTTTATCTTAATGATTCTAACTTGCTTATGTTTTATGATGCAGGTGTTGCTGGGGGTGCAGCATCTGGCAAGACAGCAGTTTGTGATATGATCATTCAACAGCTTCATGATCAACGAGTTGTACTTGTTAATCAGGTATTGAATTATTTCTGTTTATACTTCTCAATTATCAAATTGAAAAAATATATTAAAGTGATCATTGAAAACAAACAATTGATTGGTTTCTACATCAGGCCCTATATGCATCCTGTTCTATCCATGATCTGAATCTCTTGGGATTCTGTTTTCCTTTGATATTCAAAGAATTTTAAGGAATGTTTTTATTACCATTATTGTAAATTTGACCCCATTCACAACAAAATATATCATTTTTGTTTATTCTTATTCCTTTAGTATTCGTCTAAGCTTCTTTCTGACAATTTGCTGATATCAAGAGCACACATGTCTCTCTGGGTAATATAGTCAAAATATACTCTTATGTTATTTCTTTGCCTATCATGTCATTGATTATCTCTATTTATTCATTCTATTAGTTATTCCTTTCTTTCAACTTCTTTTTGGGTGGCATGTTGCCAAGTTTAGTCCATACATTTCTTCTTGTGCTTATTTTGATACATTGAGCTTAATAAATAAACTATTTATGACAGGATTCCTTTTACCATAGCTTGTCTGAGGAGGAACTTACACGAGTACAGGATTTCAACTTTGACCACCCTGGTAGTTCACTTTTTTGTCATTACTGACATTCGTTCATTTTAAAGTATAATGGAATGTTCTGCGGCCTTGTCTCTTTTATTAACTTGCATTTTTTTTACTTTTTAGAATGAGGATCCAAAACATTTGTTCATTCTCATGTTTTTATTATTCTAGTAAACTAATTATGAACTCGTTAACTAAAGCTACATGCTAGTGAATTAAAACATTAGTTAATGATAATGCACTGACTTTTGAGATGTTTCTGTAAAAGTCAACAAACTTACCATAGTGATTGGATGACATTGTAAATATATTATAGAGTGAACACCTTTTTCTTTCTCTTAAAATGTTTCTGAAAATTGATGGGGTAGAGAGACAAGTGAAAATATTGACATTTTAATTTTATTAAAGGAACTGTGTTAATATTCTTGTACTTATGTTTTGATATTGAATCAGATGCTTTTGATACTGAGCAATTGCTGTGCGTTATGGACAAGTTGAAGCATGGTGAAGCAGTAGATATTCCGAAGTATGATTTTAAGACTTACAAGAGTGATGTGTTAAGAAGGGTATATCTCTGGAACTTCTGTTTATATTAGAAGTTTTAACCATTTAGTTAAAATGCTAAACAACTCGAGATAGACTTAATACTTGTGAAGTTGCAAATATCATTCAAAAGAAAAGTTTTCTTCTTTTAGTACAAATTGAAGTATAAAATATATCTATGTGATAATTGAAATGCATATTTTAGCTTATAAAAAGTTGTTGTCATTCTATTTTCATTGTGTTGCTTTAACGTGTTTTCAGGTGAACCCTTCAGATGTCATAATTTTAGAAGGCATCCTTGCTTTCCATGATCCACGTGTTCGGGAGTTGATGAATATGAAGATATTTGTTGACACAGGTCCTTTATTATTGTTTTTCCATATTTAACTCAGAATTTATTTATTTTAAGTTGTGCTGCATTTGTTAATTTAAATGAGATATGTTGTAAGATTAACTTTTTTTCATCTCTTGGAATTAGTTTCTTCCCTTCCCCCTATAATTCACATTATGATATAGGAAAATTGTATTCTTCATATTATATCATTTAAGAAACTTTGAGGGTTCGGGGCACTATGAGCCTATTTGTTACACTTTGACCAATCTTCATATTGTTACTTTTTTCATTTATTTGTTGGTCCTTTGTTACTTCATTAAATTATTATTGTGTGAGTCTCCTAGGTACTTCTAAGCCTGTATATAAAATAAACTTGATGTTTAATATTGTTGACCATCGAATTCCAACTTGTACTTGTTTTACTTATGTGTCTTTGTTGAAATACTGAGTTAAGCTGTTACTTCACATTTTAAAATGTTCAGTGCAGATGCTGATGTTCGATTGGCAAGAAGGATTAGGCGTGATACTAATGAAAAGAGTCGGGATATTGGAGCAGTTCTTGATCAGGTAGCAACTTTCTACCACACCATTTGCGTAACATCTTTTGACTATTTCTTGATTCTTTTTCATCTTGCTATATTTACTTCAATGCATGGATTTAGAAATATTACTTTTAGTTTCATGCTGCTGGTTGGTTACTGTGCAAATTCCGTAATATTGAAACATATGATTGTATGGAATTAAGTCATTAAAGATTCTTTTTGTTTATAAATATTTGTTAAGCTATGCTATTATTCATTAGATTTTCATGGTTAATATTAACCATTAATGGTTTGCAGCTGACTTTTATGCAATATTTATTGCAGTATTCAAAATTTGTGAAGCCAGCTTTTGATGACTTTATTCTTCCAACAAAGAAGTATGCTGATATAATTATACCCCGTGGAGGAGATAATCATGTGGCCATTGATTTGATTGTACAGCATATTCGCACAAAGCTAGGTCAACATGACCTGTGTAAAATATATCCAAATTTATATGTCATTCAATCAACTTTTCAGGTACCCCTTGATCATGGACATTTTCGGTGATCCCGCGTAGTAAACACCAATATTTGATTTTTACTTTTAAGTTACACCATCTCGGTCAATGCTACTATGCAGATACGGGGTATGCATACGCTGATACGTGATTCTCAAACAACAAAGCATGATTTTATATTTTACTCTGATCGGTTGATTCGATTGGTAAGTAAATAAGTTTGTTTTTTTTTTTGTTTATGAATTTAATGGCAATATGACATCATAATAATTGAACTTGACCAGGTTGTTGAACATGGTTTGGGGCATCTGCCATTTACAGAAAAACAAGTAGTCACTCCCACTGGTAATCTTATCTTTTTAAATACTTTCCTCGTAAGATTGTTGTGATGTGCACGTTTCTGTGATATTTTTTTCTTTCTGATCTTTGTGGCAACAGTATTTAGATGAACATTTTTACTTCCGTATCTGGTTTTTTATTGCTGTTGTACATGCTCCGTTCTCTCCTTTGAATGCAAATTGTTGTGGATAACATGTACATTCGATGTCGAGGTTATCATGTGTTGGTGTATTGTCCCAAATGAGGAATACATAAGCTACGAGTGCTTTGCTATATTTTAAAAATGGCTATGGCTATAATTTTAGTTTATCTATTTTTTGGTGTTAGATTTCTGTTATCCTATGCCTTAAATAGTAGTCTTGGCAGAGGTTCTAACATTATTGAAGTTGATTAAAAAATGTCAGCATTCGTGTATGCCCTCTAATGATTTATTTTTTCATGCCTCCATTTGATATGAAATAATGGTATGATGGCATAATGCTCTACTTCATGAATGAATCAATGTGGAAAGGAGACAACAAATAATTCATTCATTTTGGGTTCTTCAATGTGGAGGAACTTTTATTGATGGTGTGAACAAACCAAATGTCTGTCATATTTTTGCGTATGTTTCCTTGTAGTTGTCATATTTGTTATTTGATTTGTCTAAAACATTTAGTTTGTTCTCATTAGAACCTTCGCATGGTATGGTAACTGTTGATTCTTGTCCTCATATGCAGGTTCAGTATACACTGGTGTTGATTTTTGTAAAAGGCTGTGCGGTGTCTCTGTAATCAGAAGGTATTAGTCTTGTCCAGAGCAGAAGTATCAAATCCATTATGAGGAATTATAACAATTCCAAGAAATTGAAATACCTAAATAGTTTGAATTACTCAATTGAATTCCTTTCATTTCTTAAATAGTTTGTTTGGATGTATTAATTGAAATATTTCTTGTTTGGATAAAACAATTTAATTTCTATTTTAAGACAAACTCAACTCTATCTTTTTGCTCAATTGAGTTAGCTCAACCTTTGATTCAAGATGATTTGTATTGACTTTTAGTCTAGGTTGATTCGGCTCAACATTCGAGCTAGATCAACTCGACTCTCACTTTCAAGCCACACTGACTCACTCTTGACTTTCGAGCCAGATTGACTCGGTTCGACTTTCGAGTTAGATTGACTCGGCTCGACTTTCGAGCCAGAACAACTCGACTTTAGTTAGTTTGGGTCAACTTAGCTCAACGTTTGTGATAGTCGATTTGGCTCGACTTTTGGCTCGAACTTTGTCTTAAACTGACTTGTTTTAAATTTGAATTTTTTTAATTATTGTATCCAAACAAGAATTTTAAATTCTTCAAATAAATGAATTATCCTTCTAAATTACTTCATCCAAACACAACACTAATGTCATTCCTTAAGAAATGGGGTTGATGTGAACTTGTACCTCCGCAGTTTATAATTTATTAGATTCATGTTCTGTTATCATATAATTAACGTACTCTCGTTTCAGTGGGGAGAGCATGGAGAATGCTTTGAGGGCATGCTGCAAAGGTATCAAGATTGGTAAAATTCTAATTCACAGGGAAGGCGACAACGGTCAGCAGGTTTGTCCACTGCATGTATGCTTTAGCACAAATCTCAGTTTTATTTCTTGGCACTGATATCTTATCTTTGATCAACGAGCAGCTAATATATGAAAAGTTGCCAAATGATATCTCAGACAGGCATGTGTTACTGTTGGACCCTATACTTGGCACAGGTTTGTCATTGTCTTTGTTTTGAAGTTGCAAGTGTGTGCTGCCTATTGCCACCATATTGAAGCAAGAACAGATTTAAGAGAAATTGATATTTGGTTTTGCTTCTTTTCATTGAATTAGCTTCTTAAACATTTTTCATCCTATAGGTAATTCTGCTGTTCAAGCAATTTCTTTACTCATAAGAAAAGGTGTTCCTGAATCCAACATTATATTTCTTAATCTCATATCTGTAAGTGTTGCCAATGTCTTGTTTCCTTTATCTCTTTTTCCTCTATTATTGTGTTATTATAATTTTAATTTTATCTCTGCATCTTTTCAGGCTCCTAAAGGTGTGCATGTTGTATGCAAAAGTTTTCCAAGAATAAAGATAGTAACATCTGAGATTGAAATCGGTTTGAATGAAGATTTCCGTGTCATACCTGGCATGGGGGAGTTTGGAGATAGGTACTTTGGAACAGATGATGATGATGAACAAACGGTGGTTTCTTCACAGTAGTTATAGTTTGGCAAAATCCATGATAATTTTTTATTACTGCCTTTGGTCTTCTAGAAAGTTGACTGAGATTTGCTTTGTGATTATTCTGCTGGGGTCTGAATTTTAGTTCTAAATCAATTTTGACACAGTTGGACCTTAGATCACCCTTATATTATACTCCTTCTGCTTATTCAAGTTTATGGAAAATTTTATTATATTACCTTTTTACTGCACTCTAGAAATTTTCTTTTAACTTGTGTTGAAGTTTGAATACTCAACCTTACTCTGTATATGTCGAAATTAATCTTATGTTTATTTGATAGATTGTATCTGGTTTAGCTTAGTTTCTACTGCACATGCAATATGATAATAGAAATGTATATATATGTCATATTTTAAGAATTATATACATAAGATAGTAAGTTCTAGGTTATTTAGATCGTAAGATAAGTTATCAAATATTTAAATTTAAGTAAATCTCCAAACAGGAAATTCTGAATTGCTTTATTAAGATTTAAATATAAGAAAAAGTAACTCATTCATATGTTTTTCGCAATAATGTAATACAACATTTGCTTATGGTTATGAAAGTTTTGCAACAATCTTCTTTTTTTCTTAATTTGTTTTGATAAATAGTTAATTCGGTATAACATTGATGTATTTTTTTGTACAAAAGAAATTATGATTTTATTATATATTTTTTAATTTTATTAATTTTGTTTGAATTTTATTAATAATTAAAATAATTTGGTTTTTAGATATTGTCATGTGTNGAAATTATGATTTTATTATATATTTTTTAATTTTATTAATTTTGTTTGAATTTTATTAATAATTAAAATAATTTGGTTTTTAGATATTGTCATGTGTATTTATTAAAATAAAATAATCTTAGCATGCGTAATAATTACCTCAAAAGGATTGTTTTACCTTGTTTTATGATTTTGTAAAATTAAAAATCTTTTATGTTGATTGTAAGGTTAATTTTTTTTATAATGAAAATAACAATTCCTGAAAAATTAAATACATGTACATTGATATTAATTATTTAAAATTAATATAATTAAAATTATTAAATTAAAAGTGTAATTTTTTATTACATTATGAAAGAAATATATTAATATTTGCCGTAGTAGGTTTTCCTTTCCCTTTTTGCTATCCTTGTTGCTGGATGGGTATTTGATGGGATCTCCTGACTTTCTGAACAATGTGGTGTAGGAATGAGAAAATATCCTTAACCGATATCCAACCCCAAGAACATGTAAATATACATTTGGGTTGGATTTGATATCCGGGTAAAATTGAATAAAATTAATAACTTTTATATTAAAATTTTATGGATATCTCATCCAACCTAAATTTATATTTTTAATATTTATAAATTCTTAAATGTCAGAATCATTAAAAAGGCACTAAAAAACTCTCTGAACGAACATCAGGTGTCAAGCGGAAGGGATTCGGAAATTAAATAGTGGAATGCAGGTGTCAGCATATGAGCGGACGTTCGTTTAACGTCGGAAGCAAAACTGAGTTTTGGAAAGTTTACGCCACACTCTCTGCATGCAACTTCTTCTCCAAACTCTGATATTCTCAAATCCTCCTATTTCTCTCTAAAAGCTCTCCCTTCTCTCTACCAATTCTCGCCCTTTCTCTTCCCTGGTCTCCGTTCAGGCACTGTGGAAGCATTTATGGCATCAAGAGCTTCAGTTTGAACCGATCGGTTTAGGGTTCTGAATTGGTAAGTTCTTTTTCTCGTTAGCAGTTCGTTATCTGGTACATGCAAACCAAGTTCTGGTTGCACGAGTTCATAGTCTCTTTCTGAACCATTTTTGGTCTGTTGTTTGGTTAATTGAAGAATTGTTGAACGTGAGGGTAGAAGGAATTGTAGTCAGGCGAACCTTAATTCTGCTTCTAGGAACGTTCGTTCAGAGGTAAGAGAAGCTTATTAATTTAATTTGTATGATTATGTGTGTTGCATGAACGTTCGTTGACTTGATTGAATAAATATATGATGGTTGATATGGTTGGATTGTATGAAGTATGAAAATTGATTATGATATGAATGTATGAAGTTATGAAAATATATGTTGAGAAATGAGTTTGAAAATAAATGAGTTCTGGATATGAAATTTCCCTATGATAGTGTACGTTCGTCACTGAACGGTCATTGACCGTTCGGTAATGCTAATAAACTTGGTTATAATTGGATTCTTTCATTTGGGAAGAATCCTAGTTGAGGACGAGCATCTTCATGTTGTAATACTATGCTTGAGCGTTCGGCCAAGCATAGTTCTATTTACTAAGCATTCTAATATATGTTTAGTAGTGCTCGGTCTTACACCAAGCGCTCGTATTGAGTAGTGCTCGGTCTCACACCAAGCGCTCGTACAGAGTAGTGCTCGGTCTTACACCAAGCACTCGTATTTGTTTCTTTTATAATCTATCTTGATGAAAATAGCGTTCGTCCAACTTCAATAGAGTTTTCTCTCTACCGTGCTCGGTCATTGACTGGTATTCGGTTTTCTTGATACTAAACTCAAATAAGCTAAGTTTATAAGCGTTCGGTTTCTCCATGTGAATTCTTCTAAGTATTATTCGTTGAATGTCTCAAAGTGTTTGTATCCATCGGTTCCAGCCTAGAGTCTTAATACTTGGCATGGTCTTTTCGGTGTTCGGTTAGAGCTCTCAAGAGTCAGTTCATTTAATTGGCTCACTTTGTAATTAACGTTCGTTCTATTCGTTAAAGTTTTAACATTTGGTATTTGGTACCCTTAGTGATCCTTGTACAAATGGTTTAATGGAGATGATTATTAATG